GTGAGAAATTATTGGCCAGCAGTAACAGTATTGAGATTACCAGTTCAGATGTTCTTTTTTTTTTTTTACTAGGAGTTAAGTTTATGTTTTTTTAAAATGATATTTTATTCATTTTCACCACCTGCTCAGTCTAAAAAAGTTTTCCGAAACTATGAGCTTCTTGTAACTGAGGCTGATGGGCTCTGGGATTTAGTAAGAAGAAGAAGAGTAGTGGAAGTTTGGGTCAGTGGTGGTCATTTGGCCGAGCTCCTTTTTTTTTGCTAAGCAATCTTGAACATGCTGCCAGGCACATTCACATAGCTGAAAAAGGTCTTAATTAACTAGTTCCAGACTACATTTATCAGGGATCCTGGAGAGTCAGTCTGTTATCATTGCGTACCTCTGCTTCTCCTTTGGGAGGTCCCTTGGGCACAGTCCTGTACACTGAACTGACTTTGTCTGTGATCCCACTTTTAAATGGAGGGCAGCGGGCAGAGCATATTCCTCTGACAACCCTGAATAGTTGCTCGTCTTCCAAAGCTGCCGCCTCTGTAACAGTTTGTCATGTGTTCTCCCAATGCTTTTATCAAAAAAATTAAAAAATAAATACAAATGGCAGTTTAGTTTTGAGCAGATTATTTGCAAATTTTAAATATTGCATTATATACTGACTTAAAGTACAGATTGTTGCTAAAAGACCGTTTACCAGATCTCTGTAGAGGGGTTCAATGTATTTGGCGAATATGCTTTAGAGATTTTGAATTTCCCCCCTTTTGAATTAAGATCAAATTACGATTTTTAACAGTATTTATACCAAAGATTCTATCTTTGTCTCCTCCAGCTGACACAAACTCAGAGATTGACACCTGGTGTGGTCGTATGGTACTGTATCCCATCTCCTTCAAGGTTCAAAAATGTGCATTTCTAGATGTATTGAGTCGCTGCCATGTGATTAGCTTATTAGATATTTGGGTAGCACTTTCTATCACAGCACAGTAATAAAGTGGTAATAGTAGATTAACAAGGAAGAAACACAATTTGATAATGTGGTATATTCTAAATTGTTACCATGCATTTATCCAAGTAGTAACCAAGTAATATCATGGTAACAGTGGTTACAGCTGATTTTATGTAATTGGATAATGAGGGCCCAAGAACTGGGGGTTATAATGTGGAAATACAGCTCGGTAATAAAGTGGTAATAGTAGGGTAACAAGGCCGAAACAATATTGTAATAATGTGGTAATTTCGAAGTTATTGCCACTCAATTAACTGTGGTAGTTTCTGTGTAATAAGCAGGAAACAGACCAGCAAAATGCAAAACTGCCTGTTTCTATTTAATAACATACTAATAACCTAGCAAACTGTAAATGTGTGTGATTATAACCTGGAAGCACAGGCATTCCTGATAAAGTAGCTGGTGAATGTAAATTCAGCACTGAACTAGTACCTATATGCATTTTTGTCTTATTTTTCCAGTAAAAATATCATCCAGAAGAACACTTCTGCAATGCTGTTGGCTGGAATGCAGTAGAGGTAGTTTCTTTTTGGTTGTTTGTTTTTTTTTCCTCTTTCTTTTTAAGGAACATTTCCTTTCAATGATAAAGCCATTGATGGATAAAAATAAATGACCAAATCTTTTAATCAAATAAGCATTTTGCATTTACATTCTCATACTATCACAATTAAGATAATATATATATATATATAATATATATATAATATATATATATATATTATATATATATATATATAATATATATATAATATAATATATATATATATATATATATACTGCATTTGTTTTATGGTATTTAATAATAAGTAATGTTTTAATGTTTTGCATTAAAAAATGGGAATAGCTGAGTGATTCAGACATTGGTTTTTGGGTTTTTTCTCAATGTTACCATAAAGTTGATTTCTGTCCTGATATATAATAGTAGTGGTCTTTCATATTTCACAAGAGCAGTATAATGCAAATCCCTTCTGTGCTTGCATTCGAAACAATATATTCGGTAGCCTCGAGGGTGGCTACCGACTGCAGCGGTCTCCTAGGAGCTGGTACGCATCTTCCACCACTACTGCTTAATTAGTTGAGTGTGTGCCTGGAGACCAGTTCTGCACTTGACCTTTCTGAAGGTAAGGCAAGCAGCACATGTTCAACAGACCAGAGGAAATGAGGTGAGGGGAAAGGTTTTTACATTGGTTAGTGATGTGTGCATGTACATATAGCAGTTGTGCGTGTGTGGCTATGTTACTCCTCTTTCTCCCAAGAATGTGTAGCGCTCTTAATGGGAAGAATTTCATTAGTGCGGCACAAAAATTTGTCAGTCGCATCAACCATGGTGAAATTGCAGAGACATTTGAAATGTCCTCAGAAAATCCTAACATGCATCTGCAGTGGAAATAAATCAGTTTTGTACATCCTTTAATTTAGAGGAAAAGCTTGAAGTACTTGAAGATGCACAGTGATAGAACATATTCTAGGAAATACCTTGGGGAATGATGACATATTCAAACAGCGCATCGATGCAGGTAGAGGTTACCGTGTATGCCATTTTAGTATTTAATGAGATTTCATCTAGAGGGGTTTCTGGCTGCCAAGTTTCAAATCATCTAAAAGAAAGTCTGCTCTTCTCATTGTCCATCGAGAAAAGGGACATCCTCATTATCCTCCATGGCTTTGGCTCATTAAAGGGGACAAGGAGATGTATCCATATAAATACTGTCACACTATACCCCAAATGAAAAAAAAGACTTTTTGGGAGAAATTATACATTCCACCAAGAAACAAGGTGGAGATCAGTTTCCACTGCATGAGGAAATGTCAAGAAATTGAATATAAAACAAGGCACACTAAAGAGAACAAGTCTACAAATATTCTAACATTTTTTAATCATTTTATTGTTATTTATTTATTTATTTTTAGACAGGGTATATGAGCTAGAGAATATCAATAGCTGTTTTTCTTTAGATGTCTTACCTAAAATACAGTGGCACACACGCACAGACGATTGTGAAGTGTGTGAGAAGTTTCGAGGTTGAAATACAAGCTCAATAGACTTTTATAATGGCAGTTTCAAAAGCACTCTGCAGCTTTAGAGTCCACAAGAGGCGACTGTAAAAGACATATTTGAATTCTGCTTCGTTATTTATTTTTATTTAATAAAAAGGAAAATAAATGGACTCCATGGTAATGGATTTCAGTGTGTACGGCCAGACATTTTTGATGAGTAGCAGAGGTGTATTTTACCTGGGAGTCTTTCAAAGTTCATGACATTTACAAGAGCTTCTTTGGTATTTACTTTGAAGGTTAGAAAGGTTAGTCAGACAGCTTGTGAACCTTTGTTTCTTCATAATGAGGAGTTAATACAATATATACATCAATGAACTGTGTGCTTTGATCGCCGCAGCTACATCTGTGACATTGAAGGCGTAGGTTGTCTTAAAAAAAAAAAGAAGCAACAACAACAAAATATAAATGTGGAAAAGCTATGTGCCCCAGTGCAATATGTTGCATTTGGTTAAGGAAGCATGAATATTTCCAAAAAAGTTTATTATCTTTTAATAGAAGTCACACGGGGAAAAAAGTCATATTTAGGACTGATAACACATGAGAGTATTCATTGGGTATCATATGGTGGCAATGATGTGGGAGCTTTTCCTCAGCGCCATGTCATCAAGCTCTAAGCATTCTTGGGGAAAAGTTATAATTAACTGAGCAGAGATAAAGTTGAGCTTGTTGCTAAACTGGTGTGTCTGCTGATGGCTCACTAAGTAGCAGGCAGCTGAAGACAGCATTGGCAGGTTAATCAAAAATTAATGGGGAATATCACAAATGACAGTTTAAATACTGCCGTTGGCCGACGGACATGTACTGGTGGAGCACAGTCGGAATGCAAGTGAATATCTAATTTCCTTAATATGGAAGGTCACATTGTCACATTTGCACATTAGTCTAAGTGTGACTAGATAGAACTCCTGAATTTAAAGCCCTGTAGCAGGAGATTAAACAATGAAAGTGAAACACCTATAGAAGAATTTACTGCTTTTCATATGCTAAATATGCAAGAACTAGTTTGAAAATTAGTACAGCAAATTGGTTCAGCCAGGATGTTTTCCTTGGATATATATATCTATATCTATATATCTATATCTATATCTATATATATCTATATCTATATCTATATCTATATCTATATATATATATATATATATATATATATATATTCTAATATAGAATATTCTACAATGATCTACACTTTCAAGATGAAGCTATCCCGTGTCATTACTGTGAAACAACACTGAAAATGACATTGTGAGGCATTTTCATTTGAAGTTTCTATTAAGTTTAGCTGATGTCATGAAAAGTGTGTGTAATTTTTATTTGTAAAGTTTTAGATTCAGATATTTTCTGATTACATACAGGTGTGTGATAACACAATGCCCTAATCTTGCCCCTAGGAGTGGACATCCCACCAAATTCAGCCCAGGACCAGAGTGTGCAGTACTTAGAGAAACTGCAAAAAAACAAACAAACCCAAGAGCTATCTCAGACTCTACAGTCAGACTCTTTAAGCTCATCAGTACTTTTGAAGATTGACTTTTGTTTTCATTCATTTTCTCCTTTTTTTCTGAGAATTTTGGAGTCATCAGTGGAAATCATTAATGACCACTCTGATTGGCTTCAGAGTGAAATTTATGTGGTTAATGTGGCCCTTGCATGGTATGTACCACCGGCAGATAGAGGAAGTGGCTGACATCCAGAAGTCCCACCAGTGGAACGGCATAACTAAGTGGCCGGCATAGTGTACAGGAACATCTGTGCCGGAGACGCCTCATAGGGTGGTTGAGAATGACCGATCTAAGATCCTGTGGGACTTCCAGATACAGACGAACAAAATGGTGGTGGCTAACCAACCAGACGAAGACGGCTGTAGTGATAGATGCAGCGATACTGAATGACAGCAATATCTGGAAGAAGGAACACAAAAAGCTGGAGAAGTACCAAGGGCTCAGAGAAGAGCTCGAGAAGATGTGGAGGGTGAAGATATCAGTGGCCCACTGGTAATCAGAGTACCCGGTATGGTGACTTCCATGCTAGGTGAGTGGCTCCAGCAGATCCCAGGAACAACATCGGAGATCTCTGTCCAGAAGAGCGCAGTCCTGGGAACAGCTAAGATACTGCGCAGGACCATCAAGCTCCCAGGCCTCTGGTAGAGGACCCGAGGTTGAAGGACATACCACCCGCAGGGGCGAGAGGAGAATTTTTTTTTTTTGTCTCAATAGATAAGATGGTTGTGTATAAGTGATCTTGTGCTTTCTAACTGGGACAAATGTCTTTATTATATCTCTATTATAAGATTATTCACACCAAGAATTTAAAAAAGATAAAACCTTGAATGCAGTCTTTTATTTTGATGATCACAACAAAAATGTAAACACAGCAAGAGCTGAATGAGTTCAGCAAATTCTAACCTTTATCAGTAATACAGAAGCCATTTTAATAAAGATGATGATTTTTATTCACATTTTATTTTTTTTATTCACACATTCTTAATTTTCCTTGCAAGCTTTTGTCAACAGTAAGGCAATAAAATGCATTGCAGAATAACTGACAGGCTGGTTTTATTATCGGTTTGGCGGTTTGCTGCGACATCATGTTGAGTGCTTTTTGACAGTAAAGACAGTGGTTCAGTTCCAGCAGAAATACTGAATAAATAAGCAATCTTGTTAATGAATATTCAAGCAATGCAATCTTTTTATGTCTGGTGTGACTAAATGACTAAGCCTTCTAATTCATTAAGAAGGTGTTGGCTACTTCTTAATGAATTAGTTAATGGAGAACTATTTGCATGTTAATGAATTCCTAATGCCATGTATGACAAGAAAACCGTGTTTCTATATATTAAGTGTTTTCTTAAAGAAATTTTTGTCCCCAGAAAGAATCGGGAATGTTGTGAAATCATTTCTATATTTAAGCTTTGAAGTCAGAGTTCTATATCATTTCTTTTAGATCTTTTCTTTAATCTACATATCTCAATAAACTTTTCTTTCAAATATTTTGTTAAAGATACATTTCTCCAGTGGTACAGACATTTTAATAAACAACACTCTCTCAATAAGGTACATTCAATCCCACTTGAAGTCTTGTCCTACAGTTTCATAGAATTTGATGTTAAATGGTCTATAAAACTCCTGCAGCTGTTCTATGACCTCCTCCTCAATCTGTACATGAGTCCTACCCTTGGATTTACCGAGGCATCGTGGCTGGCTGCTGCTCTCTGGTTTCTTCAGGCAGGGGAAACCTTTGGTTCGATTAAAGTAGAAGTGTTTGTCCGTAATAATTCGTTTCAGTCCCAAAAAGTCCTGGACACGTCCCATTTCCCCTGCTGGATCTGTTATCAGTCGCTCACCGCTCACAAAGTGCATTTGCGACAAGCGAAAGTATTGCAGCCAGTTCTCCAGGTGCACAATATACATCCCAATCCGAATGGCATTCCAGGAAGTATCAACAAGACCTAAGCTTCTGTTCTTAAAGGCCAGCTCTTCAAACGTGGGAATGTCAGGCTTCTTGGAAAGCGTCTGTGTGTAGTCAGAAATGGCTCTTGTGACTGGGTTACGCACCACAACGATCAGCTTGGTCTCATGGGACATGCTGGAAATGCGTCTGGGAGCCTCTCTGGTAACAAAGTAGCTGGGAGTCTTCTCTAATGTGATCTGGCTGTCTAGTGTACGTGGCATTAGTCCCCTGGGAAGAAAGACAAAAAATGAAATACACATGAATGAGTCACCAGGAGTTGTTATTTTCATGTCCAGGAATATTTCCACATGCTTTTATGTTTTATGACTGAACCCCCCCCCCCCCACACACACACACACACATCTATCTTAGGTGGAAGTTTAAAGGCTGTCAGTTGGATCACAGAGCTAAAAAAAAGTGGGTGTTCAAATATTTTTAGGCAAGCAGCAATTCCACAATGAGGAAGATCCAAAATCTTTAGTTAAGCATATTGTCATTAATAACAACCAAAATCAAAAGCACAAATTATGCATAATGGCAAATTAAAATTTAAACTTAGTGTGTCTCTAATTCTTTTTATTATAGTTATAAAGTTATTACTCACAAATATGTCTATTTTGGTCTTGCATTGAAAATATTAATTAATAGTATAAGGAAAGAAGAAACAAAAAAGCATTAATTAAATGTCAATGTCAAATCTTACTGACTTTTGTATAACAGCAAGAGAAAAATACAAAATATTTAAGAGCTAACAAAGAAAGTTGTCCGTCTTTTGCACTGCATTGTTAAAACAAACACCCAAATAAACACGGTGTGGATGTATTTGTTAGGCATTCGATGCTGACAGGACAGCTTGTACAACCAAAACATGCATCATAATTATCATCATCATGCTGCCAAGATAATGGCTTTGCACATCCACAGGCAAATGATTTTATTCGTCCTATTTGTCACAAGAGTTTCCCTTCGCAGTGTAATATGTCATTCTGCTTTGGCACTTTGGTTCAATAAAAGTTGATTAATAACCATCTGGTGTTGGCTGTTGAGACAATGGATCCCCTGTTCACGATTCAGAGATCATCCATACTTCTCTATAGTTATGTCTTTGCTCTACATATTCAAGTGACTGCTGTAGCTTTGGCAAAATAACTCACCAATTTGATAGGAACAGCTCCGAGACAGTTCTTTTAAAATAGCCTTTTATGTTTATTATTACAGATTACAGAGTACCTGAAAACATAACATTAATATTTTGTGTCTGCAATATGTTTGATATTTGGTGGTTAGGACAAATGCTGGGTTGATGGCATGTTAAAAAGAATGCTTAAATGTCTGTACTGTAAATGTCTGTGAAGGGTCTCAGTCATCCAGGTCATCGTAGTCTAAGGAGCTTGGGAAAAAAAAACGTTTGGGCTTATTTAAGTTTCTTGAAGACATTTCACCTCTCACCTGAGAAGCTTCTTCAGTTCTAAGAGCAATTGGTGGAGAGTCCCAGATAAAAGAAGCCATCTACGTCCACTGTGAACGACCCTGCTTGAACAGAGGGGGTGGCTCACGACACCAACTGTCTGCCATCTATGTGGAGATAAAGTATCGAATTTCAGGGGTGGGACCACGCCCCCAAACATGTTTCTTCCGGTTCTTATCTATATATGTTCCCCCAGTTCTACAAGCTGTTCATTCTCGTTTATGTGCCAATTCTTTAACTTCTTCGCTTCTATTTAGTACATGGGGATCTGCTAGGCCCGGGAGCCACCAGCAGTCCCCTTCGAGGCCTTCCCCAAAGCCCTGCTCAAATCACGTCCAAGCCATTCACCTTCATCTACTAAAATGCTGTCTAACCTAAACGGAGGACGTGGGCCCAGCTAGTGAAAATCCAGCTTTGAGATCCCTCCCCAGACACCTTAACAGTCACTCACACATTGGGTCATTTGTTCTCAGTAATTCACATGATAGGGTGGGGCAAGGTCTCACAATCACCTGAAACCTTGGCTGATTGTGACCAACACCCGTTTTTACACCTTGGCTGTGATTAGGCAGAGGGACAACAGGGAGTCCAAGACCCTCTTAGTGACACTCCCAATAGGGCTTAAAATCTGGGACTCGCCACCAATTGCTCTTAGAACTGAAGAAGCTTCTCAGGTGAGAGGTGAAACTTCTTCAAGAAGCTTAAAGAAGTCCAGACACTTTTCTTTCCAGCTCCTTAGACTCTGTACTGTACATGAAATCTCAAAACAACATACACCCAGATATAGTGTATGCTGTAGTAGACTGCACCGGGACACCTAAACCTCCAGGAGCTGCTCGTCTATGGAAACCCATGCTGTGAAGTTCCTGGCATGCATTTTTTATCACAGATGTTAATGCAAGAGGAGGTTTCAAACTCTGCAGTTGCTGGGCCAACAGAGTACTATGTAACTTTATGCTGTCTCTTACTTTGTTGCTGAGTTACTGTGATTCCTTACACCTTCCAGTTTGCAATAATACCACTTACAGCTGATTGTGGAACAGCTAGGATGGAGAACATTTGATGGACTCACTGATCACAATGATGGCATCCTATTCCAGTATCACGGTCAAATTCAGTGAGCTCTTTAGAATGATCTATTCCTCCACAGGGCAGACTGCATGGTTACTGGCTTGATTTTTGTACACTTGCTGCAACAGGACTGAAAACACCTGAATTCAAAGATTAGGGATTCTGGCCCAGTACTCTTTTATCCACATAGTTTATCTAAAGTTGGGGTTGACACAAAGTTCACACTGAAACAATGCTGAAACATCAGTAAAAAGTTTAAAGATTGTAAAGTGTCAAACCCCAACTCCCTTGTGTAGCGCTAATTAAAACAAACGACAGGTAGTGAGAGATGTTCAAAAAACACTGACATTAACTTCGGATGTTGGCGTGTCAGAAATATAGAGACCATTTTTGATGAGCCTTGAAGCCTTGGAGAATGCTTTCTGTTTGCTAGTCTTCAATATTCATTTGCATGAGTACTTAGAACACACACATAACATACTGATATGCTTCATGACTGGATCATATGCATCTGTGGAAAAAATACTATCTATGGTATTGTGGTTAGTAATTAGCCACATTTAGTGTCCATATAACCTCAGTAATTAGGTTCTGGACATGGCAAAAATAAACATTATACTTTTGATCTGCAAGTCCAGCACAGTGCTGGGTGACTTTAAACCATGTTACATAGCTACATTCTCAGCATGTGAATTGGTTTCTGGATATCAGATACATTACTACACAGTTCTGATGATAAATATCAAACTTTCTTTATTATTACCGGAGGAAGGCTTCGATTAAAACCTAACCTTTCTGAAAGCCTTTTCTTTCAAGGTAGGGGTAGCCATAGGTTACCTCTACAGTCTTGGAATTATTGATCCATTTAGTTTTATTTATGAATCCTTAGTTGTTGGCTCGGGTGCCTCGGGGCCACCAGGGAACTATTAATCTTTTATAAGAACAGCACCTTCCAAGCAAACAGCTTTGCTACACACTGGAAAAATAAATAAATAAAAATAAAAAAAGGCGGTGCAGAACCTAAAGAGATCTTCAGTTGTCTTCTCGAATAAGTGTTTTTGTTATCTGATTTGTCAATTCCTTACGTTTTTACCACCCTCAGAGATGAAGATTGTGTAGTTGCAAAATAAATTCAATATGCACTGGTTAAAAACTGCAATTTAATATTACACAAAACTTAACATTAACACATACAGAGAAAGGGCACATAGTGTTTACTGTGCAAGCATATACAACTCTTTTTCTGTAGAGAACATGTTAACACCTTTGCAGTGCAGGGAGAAGAGGCTGGGACTGTGACATTTATGAAAACGATAAGGATGTCAAATTTAGAAGATATTTGACAGGGATTCCTAACTCCCACTGGTAGTGAGCCTGTCTTTTAAACTTGTTTATTCCCAGTGAGGCGCAGGACTAGACATGGATATTGTATTGACAAGATCTCCTTAAAGAAAAAGAACAAAAAAAACCCACGAATCTCAAATACATTTCTATTTTTAAGTTAAGGGAGGAAAGGATGTTATAAGCTACTGTGTTAATAAAGCCCAGTTGTGAAGCCATCATCATCATCATCATCAAAAACATCTTGGTGTTCTGAAGCCCGATGAGGCACGGCTGAGAAACTGAGGCGCACTGTGCTTTAATACCATAGCAACATGTCACTCACAGTCTAAAGCATACCTCCCGTATCTGCTGTTGAATCGTATGTGAGGCTGGACCAGGAAGTTGTTTTTTGTGAAACTGATCAAGTGTGGCTTGGAGTAATTGTCCTGTTTCCATCCTGATGGTATTCTACAAAGCACAATTAAATCATGTTATGTTGAACTTAAAGTTTTCAGTGTCACAAAGTTGGCTCCCTTTGTCCCTGATGCCAAACACATGAAGTCATCTGAAAATGTCACATTGTCTTTTATTTACAGTTTGCTTTGAGTTTCTTCTGAAGGAATACATTTATACACACAATTTTTAAACTGTCTTAAAAACACTACTTGTAATATTACCAAATGAAAACTAAGTTGCAGTATTTTATTTTAATAATTAGTCCTTATGTGCTGCACCAGTGTCTTTTACACAAGTGGAATGGCAGCTCAAAGCACAGAAAATTGATCAGTTATTTTTGTAGGCTATTTATCACTCAGAATACTCAATCAATAACAGTAATTTCACATTGATCTGCCATTTTCTTTATTAGTCAGGAGGGTGTCAGAACTCAATGGTCTAAAAATCTTGCTGTTTTAAAATTATCAGAAAAAAACAAAAAAACAAAAACTCTGATATGTTCTAAATGTTTTAGAGACAGGTGTGGGTTATATATGTGTGTGTGAGTGTGTGTGCTACAGCCTTGCTTTTTTTACGTGTCTGCTTACATCTTCAACACATTCATTGTTATGAGATCATGGTGGAAAAGAAACTGTGGCAACAGAACCAAAGCATAGCTATCTGCTGCCAAAGAGAGAGTGTAAATTAAGATTTTTTTATCATTTAAAGTTTTAAACTTAACACTGATCTATGACTCACTGTCACTAATATGTACGGAGGAGGTCAGGAGAGCAGTGCGTGTCTCCAGCCGTGTGTAAAACATCAGAGGCTCTGTCATGGTTTGGGGCTGGATTTCATCCAGTGGAGCTGCGACTCTTGTAGAAATTGAGAGAATTATAAACACAAAAAAACCCTGTCAGATTTTGATCCA